ACCAGATGTGATAACAGACATTCACACCTTGGGTAAGTTAATCATCTGAGGGTGTGAGGGAAATGAGGAAAGGAGTGAAGCGATAAGCCAATGAGGATTATATTGGATCTGGGAGGGTTCTATCTCAAGGAGGAATAGTAACAAGTAACAGTAGTTTAAACAACAAAGCATTCAGTCATCTCACTGGTAGTAGGTGCTCACTGGAGATAGCTCTCCTTGGAGCTGAGTGTTCTGAGTTGGTTCAGCATTGCACCAGGATCCATATTCTTTTCATTTCTTTCATCCTTTTAATCCACCATCCTTCACATGTAGATTTTCAACCTCCAGCTTATTACTTCATGATCACAAGATGGCTGCCATAACCCTGAGTTTTATATCCTAACACTACAGCATCCAAAGTAGGAAGGGAGAGAACAGGTCTTTCCTTTAAACATCTCTCTCTCTATAAACAAGCAGGAAAACTCCTTCCAGAAATAGCATTTCACTTACACCTCATGGGCTAGAACTGTGTCACTTAACCACTGCTGAGAGTTGAATTGTGCCTTCCCAAAATTTATGTGTTGAAGTCCTACCCCCAGCACCTCAGAGTGTTCCCCTCTGGAGATAAGGTCTTTACAGAGGTAATCAAGTTAAAGAGAGGTCGTTAAGATGGGTCTTAATCCAACGTGACCGGTGTCCTTATAAGGAGAGGAAATTTGGACACAGACACAGACAGAGGGAAGATGATGCGAAAACACAGCTGGAAGACAGCCCTTTATAAGTGAAGAATCCTGGAACAGATCCTTCCCTCACGGCCCTGAGAAGGAAGCGACTCTGCTGACACCTTGATTCTGGACTTCCAGCTTCCAGAACTGTGAGACAGATTCCTGTGGTTTAAGCAACCCAGCTTGTGGTTCTTTGTTACAGCAGCCCTAGCAAACGAACACAGTCACCTCTACTTCGCTTCAAGAGACACCGTGAAAGTGAATCTAGAGCCAGACTCTATTGTACAAGACAGACCTATAAGCATAGAATATAGAGAGGAGAATGTCTGTTGGCTGGGCAACGAGTGTGACAGTCCTATCTTTGTTTGCAAGCCACAGAAATAGAATCTGACTTAGAAAAGCAAAGCATTCAAATAGTACAGGACGAGGTTAGGATTAGGGAGTTGATGGGAAAGCTAGAGAACCAAGCTCAGAAAAGTGTAGGAAGCAGAGCAGGACTGGGGGTCTGGATAGCAGGCACGACATGATCTTCTTCTCATAGCCCCCCACTATGATGAATGAGCAACTAAGACATTTTCTGCCCTTAAAATGCTAAAGATTCCGAGCCCCAGGAGGGCAGGGACTCACATTTTGACCAAGGAAGAAGAGGGAAGGGTAACCTGATTGAAGTCCCACAAAGCAAGCCTATACTAAGCAGGAGACAGATAATTCTCCAGGAGGAAATTATAGAATTACTTCTTAAAGAATTAGGAATAAATAGCGGAGGCCCAGAGAAATTAAATTTCCTCTACACTGGTGGAAGAAGGGCAATGGGTACGGAAATCGGAGACAAATTGGGCTTCCTTACAACCACTGCAGGTTGTCCCATGTCTTGGGGATGGGTCCTCAGGACCAAGCTCTGAGTTATTTTTAAGCTGCCCACACTTTCCATTCTAAAACCCCAACCCCTGAGCGGGACAATCAATTACCCGGGATCCGTTCAGGAATCATTTTCCAATCTCCTCTTCTAGGTCCTCCCTATCGCCTTTGGATCTTAAGCCTTCAAAGGACCAAATTAAAAAGCAAACACAAAAGCAATGGTTTAAATTCACCAAGATCACCCGATTTCTTCAAATTCAGTACCTTTTCCCACGCAAATAACAAAGGAAAAAACATCACTTGAGTCTGTGTCGACGAGGTACCAAAACATTTAGTCAATTAGATCAAGTTGGCAAACAGCCTGTCACTCTGGTCGAGAGAAGGGAGAATCTGCCAAATTAGTTGTTTGGCTGAATTGACGAGCTGTCTTGGTCAAAATAATTCTTTTTTATTAAATGTTGAGAGATCATAGTATATCAAAAAGAAAATCTACAAAAGCCACTTTTCATCTATGTCAACAGTAAAATCAAGGTGGCATTTTGGAAATCTCTAAATAACACTTTGTCTGCATAAAAGGATGTAATTCTTTAGGTAGGAATAAATTGGGAAAGAAAGCCTCCTTTTCTAGTAGAAAAGGATTGAGAGTCTAAATTACCGGGAGACGGTATGTCACCAATATCAATATGATTTCTCACCACCGCTACCATTTCACACGACTTGCATAGTGATGGCCCGATGTACAGAGTGAGCACCAGGCTGTTTCCTATTTATTGTCTTATTTAGTCTGACCAACTCTGCAAGGTAAGGACTGCTATCCCATTGTAGAAAGAGGAAACTGTGGTTTATGTGGTCTCCGTAGCTTCCCCAACTTTACACAGATAATAAATTTCAGAGTAGAGATTTGAACTTGTGTCTGACTTCAAAGCTCTTGATTTTAACCACCGTGGCTGCCTTCTAAGACTATTTAACTATTCCTTCCTAGCCATATTATTGGCATCTTTCTCCTTGGGCTAACTCAAAATTTCTAGAACATTCTTTTCTAATTATTCTGGGTCAAAGAGTACCCCCTTTCATCAGCTCCCATAAATGAAAAGATGTCTTCTCCACAGCCCTGGCTTCAAAATTCCTTAACCCAATGTGCCCTTGCCTTTCTTTGAGGCTCAAGGACAAGGAGTCCAGTAGGGTCTACCTTGCCCTTTCTAACACTCTGCTTTCCATGCACGACATGGGTTTCCGGCTCCTGCTTCACAGTCTGTGTTTCTGGAGAGGAGAATTTTTACACAAAGTTGTCTGACTCAGGATGTCCACTACTGCCTTATTTTATTTAACTCAGGCACCAGGGGGCTCTTTCTATGAGCACAATGGTAAGATTTTCATTGCATTGTCATTGACTTTTGTCTTATATTTATGACCATGTTTTCAATTTCTCCTTTAATTTAGAGGACAAGAGCTGGTTGAAAGGCACCAAGGCCAGCTACTCAGCGGACTGTCTCCTGCCACTTCTTGATTACTTCTTGCCTTTTATTCATCCCAACTTCAATTTCTCCTTTGTGCACTGTGACCAAAGCCCACAGGGGATCACAGAACATGAAGAAATGGTTTCTAGTTAACCCTTTTCTTCAGGGATAATGGCTCCACGGGTACAGAAACCTTTATAGCACATGGACTTTTTCTTAATTCTTTGCCTGAAGGGGTGACACAGAAATTAATAATAAGAAGGGGTGGGCTTCCTACAACCCATTCTAGTAAGACACAAAATTATTTGAACAATAGCTTTAACAGCCTGCATCAATTTCTTTAAATTCAAGATCCCTATTTTTCACCACTTATCCCTTAGACAAGTGTTATATATAATTGAACTGAGCTCCAGGATCAGACCCAGAAGTAAGAGAAGCCATGGGAGAAAGGGAAACATGGGCTCCTCCTTTAAAATAAGAAACCTTCACAAAAGCGGCTCACCTTCTTGCCATTAATCTCACCCATCTCCACTCTTAAAACTTAGAAGGATATTTCGTATCTTCTATAATTCTTTTTTCCCCCAAATTTATATCCACTTTCCAAGACAGAGGACAAGTGGTGAAATAAGACACACTCACAGAATCATCTATCCCAAAAGCTGGTTGTCTCCCCACAGTGTTACTCTTAGGTTCATGTCATATTAGCAAAGGGTGGGAGTTTAACCTCTAGAAACTGATCCATTAAATCTAATTTCTTGATTCTAAACACATTTCTTCCCCCTCTCTTCCAAAAAGCTTTTATTAAATAGATGATACGTTTTGCAATTTATGGCAGTTTAAAACTAAACAAATAATCAATCCACTGACTCCCAGTCCAGAGAACTTCTATTAGTCTATTACATAATATTTAATAATTACATGTATTATTTTGTGTGTAAATCATGAGGAACATAACAAAATGAAGACTTGTGAGCCCGTACCCAAGGTAGACCACTATTGTGTCTAGCTCTGGGCTTCTTTCCTATCCCACCTCCCTGCCACCTCATCTCTAGAGGCAAGATTTTTCATTGTTTTTTCTTTTGTTTTTTACATGTGTGTCTCCCTAAACATCTCGCTTAATTTTACTAGTCTTTGAACTTTATAAAAATAGCATAACACTAAATGGTGTCTCTAATGGCCTGCTTTGTCAGAAAATTTTACGTTTGTAAGACTCATTCATGGTTGGTACATGTAACTGCGATTCACTTATTTTCTTTGCTGTGTAATATTCCTCTGTGTAACTATACCCTAATTGATTTAAATATTCTCATATGATGAATATTTGGGTTGTTTCCCATTTGGGCTGCTCCAAATATTCTTTTAGATGTCTCCTGGTGCATGCATCCAAGGATACCTCTGACACACATGCCAGGGAGTGGAATGCTAAATCCTAGAACATGTAAATGTTCAATACTACAAGACAGTGCCAAATTCTTTTCCAAAGCAGTTGTAGCAATTTACATCCCCGCCATCCTCTTCTGCGACTTCTGTTTCAGTCTTGTAGAAAACCAAGAACAGGACTGAAAGAATGAGACAGAGGATGAAGCAGTGTTTGATATAAGTTGGGAAGGGGTGCAAAAAAGAGAATTGTGCATGGGGTGCTGCCCACACTGGGCAAACCAGACTAGAATCCTCTTCCTGGCTGTGTCTAATCACTCTGACCCAGTCCAGCCCACAGCCACAGGCAACCCATGAAAATCTACCAGGGCTGCCTGGTCCTCAGAGCCCTCCCCACACTTTGGCTCACACCTGCTCTCTTGGCAGGGCTCATAGTATCTGTCCTTGTTCCTGAATATAGTCAGTCTACAAGGACTTCTTGAGCACCCACTGTATGCCAGACACTGGAGGTGTAGGAGGGATAGAATAGGCAAGGGGCTAGCCCTTACATTCCATTGGAGGGAAACAGATAATAAGCAAACAAAAAAAGAGTCTGGATTGTGACCATTGTCATTTGTCGTATTTATTTCCTTGATAACAGATGAAAAGCTTGGGAAAATCATCCCACGCAGAGAGCAAATAGAAGAGCCCTCAAGAGGGAAAGAACTGGTATGACCAAATGTCAGAAAGGAAGCCGTGTGGCCAAAGCATTCCAAAAAAGCAGAGTGGTGAAAGAGGAGACGAGACTGGAGAAGTAGACAAGAGCGAGACCTCACAGGGGGCTTTGTAGGCCAAGGTAGTGACTGAGTAGCACGGGGTCGGCTGGAGAGAAGCAGCCAGATCCAAGACAGATCCATCCACAGGAGAGAGAGAGGTTGGCAAGTGGAGGTAGGGAAAAGGCAGAAATGGAGGGTGACTTCTACTTTTTTGGCTTCATCAACCGAAATACTCCCCTCCTGCTTTTCACTTCTTGGCAATTGATTGGTGCTAATGCTCCATGTGGTCTAGATTCCGCATTTCCCTGGGGCACTGCTTCCAGGATGGCTGAAGGGGAACAAAAAACAGCAAAAAGATGATTTCTTCATATTTCCACCGACCCATCCCCAAGTTTGACCTCTTCTCTCAGTGTTGTCAAACAAAGCCGTGGCATCAATGGGAGAGCCCTAAAACGTGAATCATGGCCCCAAACCTGCTACTTCTTAGCAATGTGACATATGGAAAAGTTGCTTGACCTGAGTCTCTGTTTCTTCAGAGGTGAAATGGGGTGGGCACAGGTAGACTTTAAACACCTATTGCACACCAGGCACTGTACATACTTCATCTCTTTTGATCTCGAGAGTAACACCATTCTATGGAGGAGAAAGCTGAGGCTGAGAGATGTTCAGACGGACTTTCCCAAGGCCGCAACACTCAGATTCTAACCAAGGTTCTCCCGGACTCTACAGAGCGTTGCCTCAGGGATATCATGAGCACTGCACAAGAGAACATGCGCAAAAATGTTCATTAAGCTGAAGCGTTCTTTGCGAACGCAAGGTGTAATTACTCTCTTTTAAAAACTCGTTTTAAGTTGCTCTCCACATACTTTCTGCCCAATGAGCTATTTGCGCCTTCCCAGCTGCTGCTCGCACTTTCATGAAGCCCTCCGCTCGTATAATTTCTTTTGCCCAAATACTCTCCCCATCTTATCGACCAGGTAATCTTTTATTTAGTTTTCAAAAAGACTGACTCAGTAATTACTTCCTCTCAAATCTTTCTTACCCTTGTCCTGAAAACAAGATTGATTATCACTCCTTCTGGATTCTAACGGTACCTAACACATACAGAATATCTATGCAGTATTAGCTGTTGACACAATAATGCATTAATGTCCACCCCAAAACTATGGAACTTCAAACAATAGTTTTTGCTTGCTCAGAAGTCTGAAGGTTGGCTGAGGGTTGGCTTTTCTAGGCTGAGCTCAGCTCCAAACTGTATGTTGAATCCAGAGCTGCTCCATGTAAGTACCGCTTCGAGCTACTCCACGGAGGGAAATGCTTCTCTAGTGGCAAGAGCTGTAAAGTCAAATGGCAGAAGACATAGAATCAGGGAGTGGTGAAGATTTGAGGTCAACGACTCAGTCTGTCACACACACCTATTAAAATGTTCATATAGTCGTTCACTCAGCAATCTCTTATTGAGCACCTACAATGTGGCAAGCACTCTTCCAAGCTCTGGGGACACAGCAGTAATCAAAACCAGATAAGGTGCCTATCTGCATGGAGCTAACACTCTGGTGGGAGGATGCAGACAAACAGGCAAGGAAGATCATTTCAAGTGTGTTCAGTACAGTAAAGAAAATAAACCTAGACATAGGCTAGAGTAATGAGAGCAACAGTGGGAACCAAGGTGGTCTGGAATGGCCTTTCTGAAGAAATGACTTTCGAACAGACACTCCTAATGAAGCAGAGCTGGTCCCAGAAATTATGTAGAGATCTGGGAAAAAGCATTTCAGGCAAAGAGATGTCTACTGTGTCTGAGGAACAGGAATATGTCAGTGAGGTATCAAAATCACCTAGAAGGCTTGTTAAAACACAGACTGCTGGGCCTCAGCCCCAGAGTTTCTTATTCAATAGATCTGGTGTGGACCCACGAATTGCATCTCTAAGTTCCTGTGATGCCAATAGTGCAGGACCACCTTTTTGAAACTAGTGTACCTGTATGATCAAGAGAGTGTGGCATAAGATAAGACCATTTAGGCCGTGATAGAGTTTGAGTGTTGCAGTGTGTGCAGTGAGAAGCCACTGGAGGACATTAGCAGGGAGGGATAGGACCCAATTTAAGCTTATTAGATCACTCCGGCTTCTATTTGGAAAGAGAGTCACAAAGGAACCAAAGTGGAAGGAGGAAGTTGAGATGCTTATCACATCCAACCATCAGTTCCCCAAGGTTCCTACTTGGAGTGATGAGGCACATGGTGCTGCCACCAAAAGAGAGGAGAGTCATAGCGGAGAGAAGGGTTGGGAGGGGGGTGAGGTCAATTTTGAACTCTATTTGAAGTCCCTTTGGGATATCCAAGACCATCGTGTTGCACAGCTCCAGGGGTACCACGCACACTGCATTTAGTGTGCACAGCAGCCCTGCAGCGTGAAAGCATAATATGACAATGTGAACAGCCTCCCCTGGGATTGTTTAACATGTTAGCCCTGGAATATTCTCCCTCCTCTGAGCTTACATTCTAATGAGAGGAAGCAGACAATAGGCAAGCAAGATACTTTCAAGTGATTTAGTGCTATAAAGACAATAAACTCTCACCTCTGTAGGTCTGGACCACTCGTGTTGCTGTACTCCCTGACTACGTGGCTGGGCATCCTAGTGCTGTATTCCTAGAATCTGCTTGGTTAAAGAAGACACACAGAGAATGGTAACCTGTAGGTAATGACAGTAGCTAACATTTATTGGCATCTATGATGTGCCAAGCATGATAAGCTCTTGTCACGTATTAGTTCAAACAATAATTCTATGAGATGTATATAATGATTAGCCCCATTTTACAAGTGGGAAAATTGAGGCTCAGAGTGGTTTAGTAATTTGCCAAAGGATACAGAGCTAGGAAGGGACAAAGCTGGGATTCATGACCAGGGAGTCTAATTGCAGAGCTGGTTTTGTACCCACTCAGCACACTGGTTCTCAGTTACTTGCTGGCAGAGTCTGTCTGAAAGGGTCTACATCACCCTTACCCCTGGCCGGGCTCCAGGATTACCAAAGAGAAAAATCCAGCCTTGCCAAGGCCAATGTTCTTTGCCAGTAAGTAGCTAGAACTGTCAGAGTGTCTATAGCATTAAGAAAACCCCATGCCTGAATCCATGTGCCAGACCTTTTACACGGAGAAAATATGGACATTTTCTTTTAATAATGCTACAGAGAAATAATGAAATGGTAGCATTACAAAAGCATAATTAGGTCTTCAAAAAAAAAATCTCCACTGGAGTCCTATAAAAAGACCACAGGTGTTCGTCATTATTTTTTATTTAGCAGACAGTTTTAGCCATTGTTTGTTTTTCCCCCCATTTATTAAGTTCTGGTATTTTAAGATGATTTGTGTATAATAATAACAATAATTTCCCGTTTGCCTGTCAGTTGTGAGCCACTTTAATTACAGATATTCATTTTCACAAGTTAACTTGGTAAACACGCTCATTTGTTATGTTCCCTGTTCATTAAATCAGTTAGCACAGCTAGTAACTATGTTAAGTATCTCGCTGTTGGGTTTCAGCAATGGATCTTCATCGGTTTCCAATACTATTTCTCACAGAGACAGACAAAGGCTTCCTGAGAGTTGCTTCCTGTTGGATTGGAGATGCTGAGTCTCTATCTCAAGAAAGCCAGGTGAGTGAGGCCCCACAGAGGCCTCTACTGGGGACTTTGTGCATCAGAGTCAAAATCATTAATTCGGACTAGAGTGTAGTACTTAGTAACCAGAGGCAAGATACAGGATAAAGGAAGAGGGACACTCTAGCGAAAGAGACATGTTTAGAGCATGTCTGACCACAGCCCTGACCTTGGACAGCTCCCCACCACTACCCTGCAGAGGAGGGGCTGCATGACCATAGTTGTGCCAAATGACCTTGACCTCTGGCAGCAGCTAGTTATTTCAAGGGTGGACATCAGAGATCATCAGTGGTCTCACTCAAGCAAATGAAGGAGAGATGTCAAGTTGGAGATATAAAATTCAGAGAGAATCAGGGATGAGTCTCTGAGCCATAATAGCCCCAAAACACACATGAGCTGCTGTTATGGAAAGGTATGAAGAGATTAATGAAGCAGACGTTCCCTGGCAATGAGAGAGCATGCAAGCAGCAAAGAAAAGCAGACAAAGAGAAGGTCATCTGAAGACTTAGCAGTTTCCAGAAACTCAGCTATTTGTTTTTTTGAGACTGCTGTGCATCTTTATAATAAACTAGCTACTTAGCTAATTTAGTGGGTCTCTGTTACTTACAACAAAACACCCTCTGACCAATGACTTTTTAACCATGGTGACTGGGATAAAGGTGGTTCCACTAAAAGTGTCACATCTGGCAAACTCCAATTTTTCTAGGAAGAAACTATGAACACCAGTACCTAGGTCATCAGACACCTGCCGATTAGATGTTTCATTCAAAATTTTCCTTTAAGCAATGGAGACCACAGCTAGACTGACATGTTAAATCAGAACTAAGGGAAATAGAAGGGTACAAGCTCCCAATAACTAAGTCACAAGGCTCAAGAGGAAGTAGTTCATCTGCGATGTGAGTCAGGATGAAGGAATTTGTGTCAAAGTGCTCAAGAGTGGATATTTAATACAGAATAAAAGTTCCATGAGTTGACCGTGGTCAATTCTTTTCATTACTCTATGTTGTTTCTTTTGTGGCCATGCTGAGCTTTCCTAAAAGAGAAAGATCTATTGGTTTTTGCTGGACAAACAATGATGGGAATGAGAAGAAGCTTTGATGTAAGCACGGGGCAATTAGGGAAGATGCTATTTAGTCATGCTGAGTTTAAGGTGGGTCATGTAGGTGGAGGTGTCAGATGCTGAGGGACACCATGAAATCAGCATAGGCAAAAGCCACCATATTGAATAAATACAAACCAATCTGGTAAGGATTCTTCAAAAGGCCCCAAAACTAGCTCCATACTATTTTGTCCATGATACATGATATCACTCTACATTTCCTTCCCTCGTTTGCAATTTCAATTCCTCCTTCATTGACTCTCCTATCTGCTCATCATATGCCCATCTTTTGGCTTCTCCTATGGGTCTCAGTTATTCCTGGATTCTTTCTTCTTCCAGAGAGAAACCCCTAGGTCAATGCTGGAAATACATGCTGGAATTCAGGGGACAGCTGAGTGTCTCATGCTCTATCGCCAGAGGTAAGGATGCAACACAATCTAAATCACAGGGTCATTGGGGTACAGGGTAGATAGAGAAGGTATTTTTGCAGCAAGTACCCCAAAAGGAGGTGGATGATGATAGGATCTAGAGTTTATGTGAAGGGTTATAGTCTTGGGAGAGAAAGAAACTTGAAACGAAAGAGAAATGTTAAAGTAAAGCAGAGGAGTAATAAAGGGTCTCCCTTCAGAGACTCTCATCTTCCTTGTAAAGTGGAAGTGTGCTGGGAGTACAGGGTTCAGAGGTAAAATTACAGGCATGAACAGAGTGGCAAATATTTGAAGAAGGCAATGCCTGAATACTCAGAAGACTTGCTTTAATGAGCAAATAGAGTCATTTTAGAGCTGGAGCTCTATAGGTTTTGCCTGCCCTGGATCCATTTTCCCTCCTCTGATAACAGCATCTTGTTTTGATTTGGAACCCCCAATAGGTATAGACTCATTGGGACTGTCAATCAAAGTGTCCCACCCTTGCCTAAGAGGTGGGCAGGTGACCCAGGCTAGACCAATCAGAGGTCTCTCCCTGGAACGGAATCTTGAGCGCAGTAACTGGAAACTCTTGGTGCTGATTCACTCTGATGGTGACTCCCAGAAGGGACTGTCCTTTAGTTCCTGCTCTCCAAAGGTACGGAGAAACTCTGATTTCAGTCTTTTCAGAGGGCTAGTTCTTCAAGTCTTCCTTTAATTTTGTGAACCACCCACTACCTTCCAAGAAGTTCCCTTTTTTGCTTAAATTGTTCAGAGATAAGTTCTGTTGCTTATCACTTAAAAACCCCAACCAAGGCATAAGTAGTATACCAGTGTTAAATAAAAAATAACACTTGGCAGAAAGAATTAAGATTTCCAAAACCAGGGTTCCATTCCCGGCATTGCCACTACCACTAAGACACTGGGCAAGTTTGAGCAAGTCCCTCAAGCTCACTAAGCTTCGTTTCTCACATCTACAGAAGAGGGTGAACTGGGAGCTGCTAAGATCCTTTCTAGCTTCGCAGAAATAGCTTTTCTCACATCTCAAGTACTTTCAACGGTCTCTACTCTCTATTCTCTGCCATCCACTATCAAGAGCCTCAGCCACTGGGCTGAGGGAACTTTAAGCAAAAGAGAGAACAGAAGCTTCATAGCCCATTCCAACAGCCTTCGTGAAAAGAATTCCAAATCCCATATGATAAGCCAGTTTTGTTAAGCAATATAAGTTTCATCTGATTTCATTATTTTTTCATTCTTTCATTTAGCATCTGTGAAGTATTTCCTGCATAGATTTTGCTTTCTTCAGGACCTAAAAAAGGAAGTCTGGACATGATCTCTGCCCCTTAAGAAGCTTGAAATCGAATTGAGGAAGTACATGAAATCCCTACAGAATATTTCCAGGAGAGCAGGAATCACGTACCCATCACCTACAAGGTGCCAAGTATACAATAGGTGCTTAATAAATATTTGTTGATTGAATGAGGCACAACATACATGCACATACTGTTATGTAGATTATAATGTTAAGAATTCAGAGTGGTGAAAAGAAGATGAATATTTATTTTGCAAATTACATAAAAGTTTAATATGGGTTTCAATTCTGAAAATGTTACTCAAAATAGACCAATTGAAGGATGATTATTTGCATTTCAAAAAAGAATATTCCTAACTTAAGAAAATTATATAAAGAGTCCAATATGTTTAAAATAGATTTTTCTTTGTGTGAGAGTTTAAGAACATTTCTGTAGTAAATGAGGCTAAACCTGAACTTGACATGCCAAAACATAACTTCGTCCAAAAACTTTGGTCTGTCCCTTAGATGCCAGCGTAATAGAATTTGACATGCGGCAGAGTTAAGCAAATGGAGTTGTTAAGGCCTGCGGCCCCTCGCCAGGACTGTCAACACTTAGAGGTCTGAGTAACACAGGGGACTTTTGTTTCAAGAGGCAAAGTTCACCCTGAAGATCACAATCCATTAGGGAGTAACGAGAGCCTTCTGGCATGGCCAAGTGGACGAGACTCGGGAAAACCCGAACAGTGAATGCAATAAAATTAAAATGCAATGGCGGGGAACTGCCGGGGCAGCAAGCGTAACCTTCTTGGTGTCTTTAGCAGTGTTAATGGATCTACTTATGGCACAGATGGTGGTTTTCAGAAAAGTCATTTTTTCTCTAACAAATTCATGACTAAACTAAAAAGACCACTATCAACTTCATTATGCTTTCCAATTGACTTGCTTTAAGGGTTATTCTTTTATTATAGCTCTTAAGCTCCCATTTCTTTTTGAAAGTACTTCTTTTAATACCAATTTTCACAGCACTAAGAAATTTAACACTCTTCAGTGGTTATATTAATGGCAAGGAACTGTTGCAGGCTTGAGAGAAGCATGGAAGACACTGCTATGGGACTGGTCATCTGTTATCTCCTCTACCACAAGTTAGGGACCCACATCCTAGGGGGCACAATCAGGTTGCCACTGCAAAGAGTGGCAATGAGAGAAAAGTGGTGCCACACATCCTCGGGGAAAATATTCTTCCCCCCGTCAACACGAGGGTTATGGCACACAGTGTATTCCATATTGCTCTTTGCAAATATGGTTCTACTGCAAGCCTCTCCTGTCCAATTGTGCCCAGTTAGCTTTGTCAAGTGACCAGCAGGTCTAATTTGGGGTTGATTGCGCAAACAAATCCATAAGCAGTTTACAAACATCGTGAGTAACTGTAAACACAAAGATAAAACGGAGTTTGCATAACACAGGATCAGCCAGAGTTCTGTATTAGGAGCCAACCAAACAATTCTGCTTTTTTTTTGAAGTGAGATTGACTTGGACAGAGACCAGATTCATAGGAATGAAGATATTTATTGTAATAGTATTTGTAAGAGTAAAAATTGGAATGAATTTCCCAGCAATAGGGAAATAATTAAATATATCTGCTCAGCTATTAAAAAGAAAATAAGGAAGAATATGCGCAAATAAGCAAAATCATTATAATGTTAAGAGAAAACCCAAGAATATCTATAAACAAGATAATACAACTACATGAAATGCCTGATATATAGGAAAAGGACTGGTAGAAATACGTTAACATGCCACTAGTAGTTGTTCTCAGGTGTGGCATTATGTGCGTGTGTTCACACACTTCCATTCTTCTATTTTCCAATCTTGTTACAATGTGTTTATTTAAATTCATATTTTATCTCATGTGACAAAAGGACAGTGACCATTCACATGGATTTTAGTGATAGAAAACTTGTTTTCAGTGATTTGAATTCTGTGTGAAGGCCCCGCTCCTATGGCTTTTGAACTGTTCGTAACATTACATTGAGAACTCACATTTAAGGTCAAAGCTGGGCAGAGCAAGGGCCACACGCTCCAACCCTTCCATTTCACGGGTGGAGAAACTGAAGTTCAGAAGTTCCTCACCTGAGATCTGGAAAGATATTCCTTCCTTCAGCTTCCTCATCTCTCAACCAGCTCATTCCTTTCAAGGCAAATGCTCACCCGTGGTAGAAACCTGCAAGACTCAAAACAATTAAATTAAAATTTAGACCCCACTTAATCGGGTGTGATCAATTTTTTCACTATATTTTGCCATTAGGTTTCAAAACAGTCTCAAACTCAGCTGCTAATTGGCTTCAAGGAGACAATGTTGGCAATGTTTCATAATTCTCAATTTGTCGGACATCTAACAGGGCCTCCAAAGCCCTTTTATTCTGTGACTTACTCCTTGGCATGGGGGTCGTGTGATGATGTGTGAAAGTGGCTGCAGTGTGAGGCCTGTATCCCTATCTGGCTGAGAAAACTGCGGAATCTTCCTTTGCCATATTTCACCATGACACGGCCTGTACACAGTAGCGGTGTTGCAGGCCTATGGAGAACAGCAGAGCGCGCTGCACTAGCTGGAAAACAAGAGCTGGAGTGGAACACTGAAAACTTTGCTTGCTTAGACTATCCTATCCTGGGCGAGGAAACAACATGTTGGAATATCTGAGGAAAATTAAAGTGCTTTTCAATGAAAGATTGAATTTTTTGAGAAAGTTTTCTTCCCTCTCTTCCTCAGAGCCATTTCCCCTTTGGAAATGGAGAGCTATTATTTTTTATTCAACCAGTCTTTAATTTTTGTCTAATGTGAAGAAAGAACAGTGATCATTCACAAAGAGGTTTTAATGACAGTGAAAACGGTTTTGTGACTGATCACTTCAGGTTGCGCATCCCCCCTGAGGGCCTACAGATTCTGTCCACGCCAGCCAGGGGCGGGCCTCAAGGGCCTGGTGGGGGGGAGGGGGGGGCGGTCCTTGAACAAAACACAGGAACAAAGGGCCACAATTAGAGGCACCTTTAGAGAGGAGGAGAAATAAAGACTCAGAACTTGAAATATTTGAGCAGTTTTGAATGTAACTTTAAACTTTTAAACTCTCCTATCATTTCTCATATCCTGATTTTTAATGAGGAATATTGCAGATAAAGGGATATATAAAAAAACTCTGAATGAACAATCAGGAGCGTCCTTGACAGTTGGAGACATTTGAAAAAAGCTACATCTATCTGTAATTCAACGTTTTAGTTAACACAGTGTTGAAGTATAAGAAAAAAATTGTTCTTTGTCTCAGGTGCAAAGTTTCTTGCTAAATTAGATGAATGCAGTATTTATCTCATTTCAATTCCAATCTCCCAGCACGGTTTTCTCTGCAGCAGGGTCCGAGAGAGAGTGGAGCATCACATACCGTCTTGGAAGGTTTTCCTCTCTTTCCACGACTTCTAGGTTGGCAAGGGGGTTAACTGATATTCATACTCCAAACCTCCCAATTAAAAGCCTACAAAGGTACACAAAAGGCCTCGAGTGTCTACAACACTGTAAACCAAAGATTGCAGTGGGAGGGGGAAGACTATAGACCCAAAGACAGAGGGGATTGATTCTTGCTGTATGATTAAGCAAGACTGATTCAAAAACACGTAGATACTCTCTGCATCAAAAGAGGATAGATAGCTCCAAAGAAGGTAAGAGAAATTAACTTTCCTTCACTACATATGGCCCAACTCTATAGCCCAAGGGCAGAACTGACAGAGAAACAATCACCCATTCTTCCGCCCCCACAACTCCTAAACTAGACCCCCAACCTTGCCCTTCTCAGCTTCTCTCTCCCCATCCATTTGGAGACATCAAAGCCCAACATATAACATGACATGGAAGAGAGTAGACGAGGTCGAGCAGAGGTGTTTTTGCAGCTGGAGCTACACTGTCTTCACAGGAGTAGCTCAGAAACAGGCATGGAGAGCAAAAAATTGCCAGGAGCCACAGAAGGTGTTGGAGAGAGGGTAATTTTCACTTCACACACTGCTCAAGATATTGAAAATGATCTGTGACTTAAATTAGACTGAAACACAACTTGTAAAACATACAGCTCAATGGGAAATAGGAAATTGATTTGTTTTGGTTAAAAAATCCATATAAAATACATGCAAGTGCACATATGCATGCGTGCACAAACACGCACACACATATACACCACTCTTTCAACCAAATCTTTATCACAATTAAGGTGAAGGCAAAGTCTTGGAGATGAAAGCATGAGACATGATGTTGATTCTTAGGAAATAGAAAAGCTCAAAGAAACAGCAAAAGCATCAGTCTGAACTCAGTGCTTGGAAGTGATTTGAAACATCCCTCTAATCTGAACTGGTAAAAACTAAATCCTGGACAGTGTTAGGGGATTTCAGTTCTTAGCTTTAAATAATTGTCTAGTAACTCACTTTGGCTACCTCCACAAGAGTTTCCCAAAAGTGACACGTTGGTCTTAACGATTAGCTTTCCATTTGGCTCCACTTCCTCATCTGAAGACAGGAATGTGATAATGACATTTCTTGAAAGACTACAATAAAGAGAAGACGTTAAAATAGCTCAGATGTTCTGCCTGGAACATTCTCCAAGGCCAAGAGGAAGTCATACTGGTTTATTATACAGCTGAAGTGGCAAATTTGAGAGGAGTTGGAAAGAAGTCCCCCCTCAAATCTCATTTTGCAGATAGACATACTAAAGACAGGCAAGCAAAGATACATTCCTAGATACTGTGGATTCTGAAATGCCTGGCATTCCTCACTGTGCTTTTAAAATGTAAGAGTATAAAAGTTCTTAGGAGGAGAATTGCCTTGGTGGAAGAGTACTGATTAAGAGACCCAAGTCACTTTATTCTTTAGGAGACATTTACATAAGAACCATCTTGGTCATTCAGGTTCCAGAATAGCCATTGGTATGAGTACTACACAAAAAAATATGTTTCCAGGACTGATCTGCTCCTAGAAATCTCAAAGGTACAAAGTAGGTGTTTTACTGTGGCATCTTCTATTCCCACTGTCCAGAAATTTCCCGCTACAAGAAAAGTCCTGATACTGAAGGAAAGAGTCATCAAAATACATTCAACAAGATTTATGGAGCCCCTACTAGGAATCCAAGGGGGTGAATTCTACAGTTTCCAGCTACACAATATGGAGATCCTGTTTCATAAGCTTCCGAAAGGCAGACCAAAAGAATAAAATAATCTAAATATGATCTTTGGAGATCTAATATTCATAATAATAACCTTAGGGACCAAGTGTCTGCTGTAAGTGGCCCCAGGGAGCCACACCATCCTCTGTGCTTTCTCCACAGCTTCTCTGCCTTTAGCAGAATTTGACCTGGTTGATGGCTCCCAGTACGCTGAAGACCTCTTGGCTCCAATGACACCACATTCTGCTGATTTTCCTCCACCCTCAATGGCTACTCTTTCTTAATATTTTCTTTGAGGCCATCTCTAAATGTTGGCACATCACGGACTTTAAGCTCTAGAGCTTTCTCTTCTCCATCCACAAACTCTCTGTAGGTGATTTTTTTCTAGTCCCGTGGCTTGAAATACTCTATACACAGAGAGGTCCTGGCCTCCCTCCTGAGCTACAGACCTGGGTCCATCTGCCTATTTGGCGTTGTAGCAGGTGCCGCTCATATCCCTATCTTGACACACCTCCAGCTGCCAGCAGCAGCATCTCTATACCTACGAGCTTTCTCTGATGGCTGGAGGCTGCTCCACCTGTGCACACAGCAGGCCAGAGGTGCCAGGAAACACTTTCTCCCCCCAGGAACAGCCTTCAGTTAACGGCTGCAGGGAGTTGACAGATTAAGAAACCCAGCTTCCTCGCCACTCGGGTGGAATAACACCAAGGTGCATGTTCTACACCGACCCCCAGGGTTCTCCAAGGGGAACTTGCTCACGGTGTAACTTACTTGATCATGTATTCTCGATTGGCTGCCTTCCTCTCCCTGCCTTAGCCACGCCCTCCCGTAACAACATTTCCTGGGATCACCTCCCAAATAATCAGATTGCACTGCAATCCTTATCTCAGGATCTCCTTCTGGGGAAACTCAAACTAAGACAGCATCTCTACACATACATTTTAAACTCCTCTCAACCTGCTCCTCTCTCCATGTCTCTCTCATCTCAGGAAACAGCACCGCTATTTACCCAGTTTCTCAAACAAAAGAAAAGAAATATCCTTGCTTTTCCCCTTTCCACCATTTCCATATCCAAGTCCTGTCTCTTGATCCACCTCTAAAAGGCACTTCCCGTTCTTCCACTTTTCTTCTCTCGTCCTATCACCCATCAGCGTCTGTCTGAACTACTGCAACAGCCTTCCACCCAGCCTCCCTGCTTCTAATCCCCACTCTGATTCTATTTTCCATAAAGCATCCAGAGTGATCTTATAAAAACTTCAATGAGATCAAGTCACTCTCTTGCTTAAAATATTACAATGGCTTCCCATCACCCTTTGAGTAGAACCTAAACCAACATCTTCCAGGCCCTTCGCAATCTAGCCCCTGCCTCAGTTTACTTCATGCCAACTTCTCCTTTGCTTACAATGCTCCAGGCCTCCTTGCTCTCCTCCAGAGATGCCTGGCTCATGCCTGTCTTAGGATCTCAGGTTGGTGTTCCCTCTGCCCGTAGATATTTCCAAGACAGACCCTTTGTCATTCAGGTCTCTGCTCAAATGTCTCCTTTTCAGCAAGACCTGCCCAGATTTTCAGTGTCGGAAGCCATACCCAAACCCTCTTTATAACACCGCTTGAAATCCTTATTTCTTGACTAGCTTTTGTCTGTCTTCCTAAACCAGAGTGTAAGCTTTTGTCTGCCACAGGCACCACGGTAACCTCAGCCTCTGGAACAATGCCAGACACATAGCAGATGCTCAAAAATGCATCTGGAATGAGTGCACGCTACACGCAGAGCTACATGCAGAGCGCCGCGCTAGGTGCTGGACAGCGACGACGGAAGCATCGCTACCAACGTTCTCCACTCTGACCTTCAGTTTTCCGTCTATAAAGTGGCTTGCCAAAGATCACTCAGCTAATTAGGGGAAATAACTGCCTACTCAGGGATGCTGAAGAGTCAGGAATGAGGACTGGGGGCTAATTGTTTCAGTGGAAACAGCTACAGTCATAAACAGCTGCCACATGCAGAAACTCAAATAATTAGGTCACATTTGGCC